CCACCAGTGCCGAACAGCTGCAGAGTGGGGATGACATGGAGATGAGGGGAAGATGATAGTGACCGCCGCGCTGTCTCGTGCCACCTGAGAGAACTTGTCCCCTGCTTGTATCATACCTTCGATAGTACCAGAGAGCCCTAGGGATTTCCGCCAACAGTCAGAGCCAGAAAAAAATAACCCGAAAAAAAGGAAAAATAAGCATAATCCTTTTCGGTGCGTTCAGTGACCTAGCCATTTTTACACTTAAAAATAAGATCATCGCAATCGGTTGATTTAATCACCTGGGAAGGAACTACTTAGCTAAATGGCTAATTTTGAAGTGCTGAGAAAAAATATTAAGGTAAGTGAACACTTCTTCCACCCTTTTAGCTGTATTTATTATCATGGCCGCGCTTGTAGGTTATATTTACAAACACATTTGTAATAAATCAACCAAGTTTAGATATTTTTTCTCCTTTGCAGGTATATTTGCATAAAATAATTGGGTTCCATGTCCAAATAATTTTTTATTTTTTTGAATGGGCAAAATGAAATGATAAATTGAATACCTTTAGTTTTGTCAATGCAAAAGCGCTCCAACTTGACCACCTAAATGGAGCTTGGTCTTGTCGTATTTCTAATTATTTAAATCATTATGACAAATTCTAGTGCTCGGATAGGGAAAAAATTCTTGAGTTAGTGTAAGGCATTTCCACATAAGTTTCCTTTCTTTGCAATTGAATTGTTCGTCATAAAAAAAACTCAACAATCAATTGCTTGAGATTGTTATTTTTCATAATTTACAAGTAAATATCACATATATATCCTATAAAAGAGGATTAAAGTAGTTTTTATTATTCACAGAATCACTTGGCACACTGTCTGAAAAGCTCGGATGTTTCTGAATTTCATAAAAAATGTGTGACAGTGTGTGGAAACGAGATCGAAAGAAAATCCGGAGTAGATCAGGCCCTGCGAGATACCCTCCTTTCGGTACTGAGTGAAAATCTGACAGAAACAGTGGGTGCCTTAGAATCATATGTTACATTGACAATCGAACTATGCAGAACTGATCTAGCCTCACCAAGCATGCCCGTTATGCTTCTAAGTGACATGTTTGATGCCATGACACTTGACAAATGTGAGCAGTTATTCACATATGTCGAGAACAACGTGACGGTTTGGAAGGAAGATTTATTTTTCAACAGCTGTAAGAATCATCTGTTACGAATGTGCAATGACCTTTTGCGTAGATTATCGCGCTCACAGCAGACTGTTTTTTGCGGTAGAATTCTCCTTTTCCTAGCAAAATTTTTCCCCTTCTCTGAACGTTCTGGCGTGAACATTGTCAGTGAATTCAATGTCGATAATTACACTGAATTTGGAAATGACAAAGCTGCAAATAACGAGTCAGAGCCCATGGAAGTGGAGAGCAAAGAAGATAATAAGATACAGATTGATTACAATTTATACCGAAAATTTTGGGCACTGCAGGACTTCTTTCGAAATCCCAATCAGTGCTATAACAAAGTACATTGGAAGGTCTTCTCAGCTCATGCTGGTAATGTTCTCTCTGCGTTTTCCTCTTTCAAACTCGAAGAGCAACGCACCTCTCTCATTAGCAGTGCGATAGGGGACGGTACCACAGAAGGTGCTCACAAAGAGATACCTTATTTTGCTAAATACCTGACTAATCAGAAGTTACTTGAACTGCAGCTATCAGATTCGAACTTTCGAAGATACGTGCTTCTTCAGTTTCTCATTCTCTTTCAATACCTCAATAGTACAGTTAAATTTAAAGCGGAAACCCACGAGCTCAAGCCAGATCAAGTTGAATGGGTGAAATCCACGACAGATCAAGTTTATGCATTACTCGTCGAGACTCCCCCAGATGGTTCAGCTTTTGCTGAGGTTGTGAAGAATATTTTAAAGCGTGAGGAGCACTGGAACTCATGGAAGAATGAAGGGTGCCCAGAATTTAAGAGGCCGGCACCAGAAACAGCAGATGGAGATGAGCCAAAAAGACCTAAAAGATTGAGGAGGAGAATTGGAGATGTTGTGAGAGATGCACAGGCGGCTGGAAAATTTTGTATGGGCAATCCTGAGCTCACGAAATTATGGAATTTATGTCCCAATAATTTAGAGGCCTGTAAATCAAAAGAACGCGATTTTTTGCCATCATTAGAGACTTACTTCGAGGAGGCTATTATGCAACTAGATCCGGCTGCAATGGTTGAAGATGAATATAAGAAGGTTAATGATGGCAATTTTGGGTGGAGAGCATTACGATTATTGGCTAGAAGAAGTCCACATTTTTTTGTACACGGTAACTGCCCAATATCAAAGTTGCCAGAGTATTTAGAACTGATGATCAAGAAAATTGCTAAAGATCGACCTCAAGCACAGTCTGACGTCAAACAAGAGACTGAAGAAACTACACCACCGGAGTCCAATGATCAAGAGTTTAATGAGGACGTTCTGAAACAAGAGTCGGAGACTGTTGATACTGAAAATACTGACAATAAAGTAAGAAAGTTGAATCCAGTCAGTGTGGAGATGATTGAGAAACTTTCAGAAGTACTCAAAGAAGATTGGGAGAAGTTGGCAGCAAAATTGGGATACAATAGTGGAGAGGTATATGTTAGATGTTTTATTTAATTTTTTTTCTCAAATTGTTTAATAAGTTCAATAACTAATAATGGAGTGAATTCATTGGAAAAGTTTTAAGATACCCAATTATTTGTCCCCAGATTGAATTTTTCCAAGGAAAGCCAACTCGGTATGAACAATGCAAGACAATGCTGCAAATCTGGTCCGAAGCGGATGAGGATGCCTCTGTAGAGAATCTCGCGTACATTCTGGAGGGATTAGAGTTCGACAAAGCTGTAGCTGTGTTGAAGCCCAAGAGCGACTGAAACATCACAATAGATTTCATCGATAGCCAAAAACGAAGAACCAAGTGCAAAGTAAGAGGAGTTAATTTTCAGTCTCATAATTTTCTGAAGTTCTTTTTTTTATTGAGAAATACAATAATAAAGTATATAAATCATATAAACTCTCTGGAAGTTCTTTTTTGTTTGGTGCAAATCATATTGAGTAAATCATCAATGCTATTAATTTTTTCGTTTGTCGGTTTTCTTAAAACCGAATTTAGCCAGTAAGCCTTCCAAAATGGTATAATCCAATACAACTCGATGTAGACTATATTTTTTGTAATGACATCGGTCAGTGCGTTGAGAATAAATTTGTCTGGAATTCAGTATTACATTTTCAATATTACACACGTTGGCTTACATTCAAGATTTGAAGGGGGAAGTTATAATTATTAATAAAATACATGAATAATTCACTGGCGCATGGATACCACGAAATGTATAGTATCAAAGAGGAGGTGAACATTCTTCATTACGATTATTTGACCATTCACTAGCCTATACGTTTTGAGAGAAGTATGTCGTTCACGTCAATTATAGTATGCAAGAAAAACGGCAGTAATTCGAGAGCATATCCTTCACACCTGCACATATTATATTATTCATGTTATGGGTTTCTCTTGGACGATGATACTAATCGGGTGATACTTATCGATAGACTTATTTTGTGTTGAATTTTCTAGTGAGTTTTACAGACGAACATATTCGTAAATATTGACTAAATGTGAACGTTTATTTTGCACACGTATCCTTATCATTCATTGTAGTCTCACTTCAGGTATTGTTTTCTCTGTTTTCTTACTCGTTAGTGAAGGAGATCTAGCATTAACACATGTTGATATGAATTAGCTATTGATATGGTAAATCAAGTCGCAGCTAGTTACATCTGAAGCTATCAGTCTTTTCGATAATTTCCTAACAGGATATTTGTTCGAAAAGTAATAACATTGCTTGATACGATTTTGAAATGATACAATCCATGGATTAACGATTGGAATGGAAAGATATTGGGAATGGTTATTTCATTCCGACAAAAATTTCCAGGGTTTTGAAAAATTTTTGTGTTGAAAACATTGAAATCCTACTGACGTCTTGTGGAAGCCGACCTTTCGTTGACGTGTGCAATTACACAATTTGCCAAAATAGTGGACTCACCATTTCACTCGTTTACCCGTGTCAGAAATTTAACGGAACGAAAAATCATTTTAAAAACAATCTATCTTGGTACTGTTTTGAACTTTGGACATCGCAGCTCCTATCTTTAAATATCATATAAAATTCATATAAATATTTAAATTAGTTATTTGTAATATGATCGAGATAATTCTGATACTCCTGCTCGGATAAATCATCATTATCGCTGTTATCGATATTGTCGTTGATGCTTCTGCGTCGTCTTGCTGATTCACTGGTAACTTCTATACACAGCAGTGCAAATTTGTTATCGCATGAGTAACGTACTTGCTCCAAGAGTCTGCCAGCGGTGATAGGTGATCCCAATCCATATCGATCAGAGTTTCCAGAGTGCCATGCGTCGCAGTAAGTGTCCATGGCACGGTCACCGAATTTGTGGGAACCGTGCCAAACAATCTTTTCCGGCCTGCCAAATAGAAAAAAAAAACATAGCAAAAAGTTAGAAACAAGGAGCTTCGATCCAACGATAAAACATTTGTCCATATCCCGTGTCCCTTCAATTTATTTCAAACGTCAATCGAAATGGCAAAAATTGGATTTGAAGTGAGAAAGACCAAAAAGGAAGTGGAAAACTCACCATGCCAAATCCGCTAATATGTTTTTACCGTTGAAACTGTAAATTCTGGGATTTTGGGAGAAGTACGCGCCATGCCCGTTGAACATCTCCTTCCATGAGTTAAACAGCACATCTCCTTTGATATTAACTATTGGCAGATCCCTGTCATCTAATCTAACTATACTATCGACATTTTGTACTCTGGAACTTAGGAATGCTCGGAAGGTTCCCCTCAAACCAGCACGTCTAGCTTGTCGATAACACGCGTAATCCGCTCCTCTCACGCCATGCATATCACCACTTATTGGTTCATTGAGAGCCGCCATTCGCAACTGAAAATAACATTTTTCTGTATTGATCGTAACAGCACTTTTCATTGACTGAAATTGTTATCGAAACGTCAATTCAATACTGTCCAATTTTCTCACCATTTTCGGATACCACTGATAGCGTAATCGTTTCGAAGAGATTAAATATTTGATTATTAAAATAATTAAGTAATAAGAAGTGATGAAAATGATATTGGATTTGATGAAATTCAAATGGTTGGAGAGAAATAATCGGAGGCTTACCCCGGTGCCGTCAGTCTTCATGGGTATTTGATTGATTAGATTTGAAGCCTCGAAGGGTGGATTGGTAGGAGGTAGCACAGTGGTTGGTGGTGGCACGGTTGTTATCGGCAAGAGAGATCCAAGCTGAAAACATTTTCAATTATTCCATGCGGATGGATGGATTATCTCGAATGTATTGAGCAATAAAGAGCTTACCGCTATATACTGCCATCCATGATTAACTCTAACCAGCAATGCTTCTTCATCAATGATATATGCCAACGTACCCACTGAACTGACACTCGACATCTAAAATTAATTTCATTATAGATTGTTCAGTTAAATCTTTTTCCAATTGCAAATGATTAATGATTAATTACTTTAGTCATTGCATCCGAATTTTGAAATGTCACAGCTCCCGGTACAATTTTCGTTGTGACTTCATGAGCTCCTCTAGTTGGCGGTTTTCCAGCGCCTGAAAATAATCCCGCTGTTTGATTATTTATTCATCAATAATTTTCCACCCCCTTACCTAAATGCTCTTTCAATTCTTTCAATTGCTTGAGTTCTCGAATAACTTTGAGCTCATCGAGACTACTTCGTGCTCCTTGCAGCATGTAATTAATTCCATGGAAGTTTTAGTTTTATGCATTTACTTGGGAAATGAGAGGAAGACGGAATTATCTGGACGGAAATGTGAAATGTTTGGAACAATTTGAATTTTTAAATACACACCCTGACGAGGGCCGTAGTAATCTCTCTCTCCAAACATGTGGTTACGACCAATTCCCGGCTCTCCCTTTTGACCAATAAGTGATATTCCAGGAGGTCCAGGTGGACCTGGTAATCCTCTTTGGCCGTCCCGGCCAGGAGCACCAGGAAATCCATCCGCTCCTTTCTCTCCTTTCATCTGTAACACATTTAACTTTTAAGCATTTGTCTGTTCAATAAGTTAGAGAACTCTCAGCAGGTCACTACGATATTGTTATTTCATAACAACCCCTTTAAATCTGTCTTTTTATTTGTTCGAAGTGCCATGTGCAAGAAAGACAATGCATCAACTTTTTTTCTTTTACACGTGAAATGCATTTACTTACTCCACTTCCACTGCTGCATTCGTTCACTAGGCAGCTTTCACCTTTATCACCCTTCGGTCCAACTGGTCCTGGACTTCTGGGAATGCCAAGCGTTCCAGCTCGTCCCTAAAAATTTCATATTAGATTTGCTCATAAAATCTCAGTAACGCTTAAAAAGTTACCGTACTAACCTTGTACGAATTGTGCTTTTAGGAATGCAATGAAATTGAAATTGAATATTGATATAGTTTTTCATTCGTAAGCTCGAGTTTCATTTAGAATGTATTAAGGCTAAAATTATTACCGGCCATCCAGGAAGACCTATTTCACCAGCACTTCCGGATTTTCCTGGTGGTCCTGGGGGACCTGGTCTACCTCTTCTACCTCTCTTCCCCTCAGTTCCTTTTTCTCCTTTGATCGTAACGTAGTCACCGGAGCCGGCAATTGTCGTGGCACCGGGAGGTCCTCGTTCGCCTCGATCTCCTTTAGATCCTCCTGTTCCTGGCACTCCAGCGGAACCATCTCTTCCAGGCTCTCCTTTATCACCTTGGGGACCCTAGAGTCACAGATTTCGAGCCATTTCTATTACGCCCATTATGGATCATTCCAACTACAATGAAGAATCGCTTCATTCGATCACTACCCGTTCATAATTAATTCTTACAGCGAATTAATTTCCATTCGTCAAATCACCACTTCTCAAAATCAGTAACGGAGTAGTAAGAATGACTGAACTATTTTTACCGATTGCTCGAATGTGTGAGTTTTTACAGGAATGCAAAACATTCCCAAATGTAAGTGAAAGTTATCAAGAGCTCATTATACAAGATTCAACGCTCACGTATTCCGGAATATTTTTGCAGAATTCGATTCGAGGTAAAATCTGTTCAGCATAAATTGAAAAAATTCCAAAAATATTTGAAGTTCCGGGAAATTGCGCTTAGTAACTCGGTGGAAACGATTAAATCTCTATTGAGATCATAGTCCCAAATTAATTATGAGATCAATGAGGGAAGAAGTTCACCAATGAACATGAGTTTTCAATTCTTTATTGAATTTCATAATTAATGAGGCTCAAAAGATCGCAGTACAGTCAAAATTTAATTGACAAGGATTAACTATTAAGATAAACTCGATTATTATTGTGAGTCTGTACCTGTACACCATTTATTCCTGGAAGCCCAGATGGTCCACTGTCACCCTTATTCCCCTTTTCACCCTTGGTACCGAGGTCGCCTTTAAATCCACGAGGCCCTGACTCTCCTCTTTCACCTTTCTCACCGTTACCTAATCGTTATGAGATCGGAGAATATTTATAACGATTTTATAAATTTATCTCTTATGTTACATATTCATTTGATTTTATATGGGTTCTAAAAAATAGATCGAGTCGATTGATCTATTATAAATCTAAATTCAATTGATCGACCTGTTCCACTTCCAGCTAGTCCTCCTGTGCCAAAGTTGACGTGTCCGGATGGACCCGGAGGTCCCTGTTTGCCTTCAGGGCCAGAATCTCCTTTATCTCCCTTTTCGGCAGGTCTACCATTTTCACCGGGTGCTCCAGGAAATCCGGGTGTACCTTTTTGTCGAATCATAAGTAGTACCGTGAATAATAACTCAAATGAATGATTCAGTAGTGGTTAGTAAAATCCGTTGATTCACTTCAATATCGAGTTTTTTATGAGTGTTTTATTAAATTATATTATTATTATTATTTGTTTATTCAGAAGATAGTGATACAAAAGTTTTTCGCAAGAAAACAGAAATTTGGCGAGAAATTGCGGCAAATTAACGCGGTAACAGCAAGTTCAAGTATTTCCACACAATGTGGATGTCGGCGGTCGAAACGGACGTTTAAAAAAAAAACAAAAACGGTCAAGCATTTAATTCTTTCCAGAGAATTCTCCTGTCCTTCTCTATCTGATGTTCCTAAAGTCCGCAGTATTCTCTATCCACTAGATACACTTTTGCAAATAAAATTACTCTATTTTTCCCGCCGAATCAATATTCTTATACAGTACCTGGTGCTCCCGGTTCACCCTTAAACCCTTGAACTCCACGACTCCCATCCTTCCCATGATCTCCTTTAGTGCCTTTCAATCCCGGTTCTCCTTTCGTCCCTTTTGATCCCGTGATTCCACTTTCGCCTTTCGGTCCAGGATGGCCGGGCATTCCAGCATCCCCCTTTTGCCCTGGTAATCCCGGCCTCATCGTGATACCCTCCTATCAAATACCGATATCATTACACAAAAATTGTGTATATGTAACCGGTAATAATTTATCTGGCTGTATTAACTCATGAATATTTTTCCACTCACTCTAGATACAGGAGACATGCCTGTTCTAATCCAAAGGGGCTGCATGAAATAATGAATATGATATTGGAAAAAGGTTTTGCAAACTACGTACGGTACTTACAGCATCGACTACAAAAAATACATTTTTAGAAAAACCAGTTACGATTCTTTGCATTCCCACTGAAGAATCTTAAACCGTACGGAATGGCTGATGTTCAGCGAAGTGAAATAAAGTTATCTGAACCATAGGGTGGCTAGAGCAAATAACGGCCGCGCGCCTCTAGATGTATCCAGTCTATATTTACTTGCTAGAAAATACGCATCAGTGGCACTTCCTGACGGATAGAATGCGTGTAACTGCATTAGAATATATGATCTATCATCAAACCAAAAATGAAGTTTCAGCAGAAATAATCCCCTATTGATAATGTGAGCGGGAGATTTGGGATACGAGATTTTGGATATTTTGGAAAATATATTGTATGATAAGATCTAAACACATTACCAACACCTCAACAAACTACCATTTTTATAGCAAACAGAGTATACTTTGTTTCAATTCGTGGCAATAGTTGAGTGGAAACGCAGACAATGAAAGGTACAGTTGAAATCGAGTTTATTTGGTGTGAAGGAAGTTGACGAATGAGAGAGTCTCGGTGAGCCCGTTTGGAGCCCAGCTGGAGGCTGGAATAAAGCTGGGGATGGGGTCAGAGATGAAGCGGAAGCTGGTTAGTGAGCCAGGCTGACTCTCTGATGGAGATAAAACAAGAGAGGAGACGCGACAGAAATTTCACGTTGGTGCGAAATTTTACTAAAAGGCTGACGATCCGTGGAGTTGGGAGTTTGACGAAAAACTTTTCATCCGACGAACCGATGGAAAAGTCAGTGAGCTTTCAGTTGGGCTCGTTGAGACCAAGCTGAAAAAGTCATCGAATCTTTTCACGTCCACCATCTGTGCCGCTTCTCTTTACCTTCAAGTCTGGCATTTGTTCTGACCATCCGAGAAAGATCAAAACGAAGAGAAGAATTATAAGAGGAAAGGAAAGGTACTGAAATTTTTTTTTTAAAACCATTCTCTTATTCCCATTGCTTTTTGTTCTTCTATTGATTCTTCTCTGAACTTTCTGACCCTCTCATCGATGACTTTTACACGCCGTTACACTTGAAACTGGCGGTTACTAGTTCAATGTAGGCATGCACTAGGCAGCCGAGAAATTGGTTTCTGTATTCTCAGGGGAAATCGTGTGGCTCTCGAAGCCCTCACGTGATCATTCTACCATGACTGTGTAAGACAACGATGCTGTCAATATATACATTCTACATAGCCCTCTCGTGCACTCACTTCCGAATCGATGAGTCAGACAGATCCAATATTCTAAAATCAACTCTGTCTCAGCCTAAAGGAGATAGGCGAATTGTTGGAATGAAGAGCTTTGTCAAAATAGCGGCTAATTTCTATCCTACCACTCTCATCCGTTAACTTCATTATCACTCGGATTGCTACAGTTGTAGTTACCATTCAGAAATTGGTAATGTCTGCCGATATTCTTAAACTTTGTGCGACATCAATCTGAGTGTGCATCAGCTCATATGCCAATACGTCACAGGCGTGTCTGTGCGATATTTTCATTGCACTAATGGAGTTCCAGTAATTATCGACAAATTTTCAAGCGGCGTGTTACAATTATAAAGCACGAAAAGAAACTCGAAATGAGAGGGAAAAGGAAAAGAAATGGGAATATTGAGGAGGGGCTTTCAAAGATTCATTGAAGATTGAAGGGGAACGCTGTGGTATCCCAGGAGTCTAGCACTCAGCGATGATTGCCTTGGCATCTGAGGCAGACTGAGTACTTGAATGCATCATTAATCGGTACTTACATCGTGAGGAGAGAAGTCATCAGCTTTGCCTGGTGGCCCTGGCGGTCCGGGATTTCCCTTTTCCCCAGCTATACCATCTCTACCCGGCTCACCCTTTTGTCCCTGTGGCCCTTCTGGTCCTGTCATACCAAGCTCACCTCTGTCACCTTTGGGTCCCGCTGAACCAGGTAAACCTCGCTCACCAGGTGGCCCCGCTGATCCCTTCAAGTTCATTCAATTCAATCATTGGAATGGAAGAAATTCGATAGTACACTGACCTCTCTATATTAAACGAATGAGAATTTTTTCATGGGATTTTCTATTTCTGTGAATTATTAGTCTACTATTCTTTCTTGTGAATGGAGAACTCGTCACTTTTTTATAGAGGTACATTCACCGAATTATTATTGTTGTAATAAAATAATCGATAGTATCGAAATGACGAATTAAATTTTGTTATGCAGTTATGAAGTATTAGAGTGTTATTACCGTTAAACCGCGGTCACCCTGTTTTCCTTCTTTACCGGATACGCCAGGCTCTCCCTTTGGCCCTTCAATCATTTTTGGCATCATGAAGTTCATTCTCAAATCGGTTGCATTACAAGTGCATGTTCCAGGTTCACCCTTCGGTCCCGGTGGTCCTTGTGGCTGAATTCGCTTGGCATCGTCATTTAAATCGTACAGATTTCCGGGGGGACCTGGTGGCCCCGGTGAACCCCGCACACTCTCGCCCCTTTCACCCTTATCACCCTTTTCACCCTTCAATCCTCTCCCTGAAATTGTGGGAGAACTCATTTCATAACGTAAAGTAGTTGTTCTACACACTCTTGGAGATTCTTGGAAATTTCAGTATCTGTGCCTAAAAGATTACTCAAGAATATACTTTAATAGACATTTACATCCCTGAGATATCCATTATAGGAAAATATAAGAACGCTATCTTTTCTTACTGGGAAACTACACATTGAAAGCATCAACGTGGTATCAACGTTTTATCTTTGGCATAAAATAATAAATGATATCTCTGAAAAAAATGATCGTAGACTCATGGACAATCCGTCGCACTTTTGCAATTGATATCCACGATTTTACTTACCATCAGGATTTGGCGGCGGTGGTGTAATGAATGGTGGAGGGTTATTCTCATTTTTGTCATTATCTTCGCCTTGTTCGAACTGCAAGATTGATATATTCCATTGATTTTGGGTAGAACATCTTATGTCTAATGGATATAGTGATGCATAATCTGCATGAATAATTAGCGAGCCTTTTCCAGGTCACTGAAGCCGAAATCGGAATTAGTAGCAGAAATTTAAATATACTTTAAATAAATGATCGAATATATACAGAGGTACAGGTACAGATATTGTTAGATTATCTCAGTTGGGCTTCGAATAAATGATAATGACGCGAGGGAGAAGTGTAAAAGCACTCCATAAATATTGAAATCAGAGAACTCTCAACTAATGTAAAATATACATCACGGAGGAATACGAAAACTGTATATAATGTATTATGATTTTCAGGCAGAGATGACGGAAAAGCTTAAAAAATTCTCTATCGTGAAAAATTAATATTCGCCCACTCCAATATTCCAGCAGCTTTGTATACGTCGAGCCGCGGATCTTAAGTATTTTCCAATAATTATAGCGCAACATCAGCTGTACCCTTGGGATTCTATCACCAAGTTGAACAATTACTCGGTAATTTTTCATGCGTAAAAACTCCGGGGAGAGCCAATTTGTTCTTGTTCAGTATATGCAAATTTGTGCTAATTTCATGGTACAGGAATAGGATAGGAGACGGGATGATATTGTTAAAAAAGACGTAAGAGTGCTTCATTAAGTGAAGGAATAATTGCCTGATGAGAAGTCTCGTGAGATCTCTAATTTTCTTTCTCTCTTCAGAACAGAGTTAAATATTTCGTTAGTGTTTGGCGAATGACGACCCAGTGCCGAGGAGTAAAGCTGCTCATTAATTATCGCAATGGTTGCAAGTCTTGTTAGAGTTAGAAATACAAGTTTCATTGGCACTGTAAGGCTATGGTGGTCAAAGAATGCTGACCATTGTAAAATGAAATTAATTCGAATGCATTTAAACAGTATAGCTTATAAACTATTATGTGAGAGCTTTTCCTCGCGTCGATTATATTTTTCTAAAAACGAAAGGTGATCTAAAAACCGAATAATTCCACATCTAGCAAATTATTCAGGCTCTGGGGTCTGACTTAGACCAGCAGTCCCACAGCGGTACCTGAGTCGATTTTCTCCTCAAGAACTGTCTGACTGTGTGCAGACATTATAATTGACAATATCAAAATGATAATTGAAAAAAATCAAAACAAATAATTAAATTGCAAATTATATAAATGCAAAGGTGTAGTTATTAATGAGTTAGTCTAGTAATCACTTAACTTTTCTCAAAGAGACCAAGAGAAAATAGCTTTAATAAACCTAGAACGTAGGAGAAATAGTGCAGTATAGCTGAGTGAAACAGTTGGATTAAGTTGCAAAAACTCTGGTGAGAATCCTCATATTTCTAATGAAAGTCGAGCGAAAAATTCGAGGGATGGAAATGCGATGCGAAATTGTAATGTCAATAAATACCAGAAATAAAGCGGATTGGATAATATTAGATGATAAAAAATGTAAGAAACTAATTAAAAATCAGTCAAAAGAAAAACAAGGGATACGTTTTTTTTTAATTGGCGGAGAAAGGGAGCAATAAAAGATACGCAACTAAATAGAAATAATCTTTTAAAGACTTTTTCAAGATCTTCATACTTTAGGCGCCTCACCGATTCCGTCTAAAGTTGATTCGGTAAGATCTCAAGCATAATTAAATTCTTCTTAATTCGCAAAAAAGAGTCGTCAAAGTTGACGTTTATAAATTATAATATAATCCTATTATAAGATGTACAAATATCGGGACAATCGATATCTCTATCTATACTGGAAACTTTGTCATGCTTATTACTTATTGATTTAGTCGTCTGAGGCGGCTAATTTGAATGGAGAACTCATTAAATTTTCACATTGTTAATCATGATTGATATAATTAAAGCGCGCGTCCGGTCTTAATGGGGAAAACTTGAGTATAATGACTGGTTGATTGACTTGAGTATAATAAATTATAGGAATGTGAGTTTGTGCAATGATCTAAGATTCAACACTATTCAAATTTCAATTCGTGTTAGATGAATTATCAGTTATTGTGATGTTCAACATGCATCTGGTAATTATTGTAAATGACTGGAAAAACGGTATCTTGCACGCCCATTGAATTCACCTCCCGCGAATTTTGTGGAGCATTAGATGCGGCCGATTTAGCCACTGTAATCAACTAACTCGGCCACGTTGGTATTACTAAATTTTTGTGTGGAGGGGGATGGCAATTGCAACATTGAATCGACATTGGCGGTTCATTGTACTCCAGTCGTCGAAATTGAAGCTGGAAATTGCTTTCGTTCACAGGATTCCCGCAGCAATGCCGGATTTCGGTGACGTTTGCGATTATCGTATTCAAATTGCCTCGAATTTGACCACGAAAATACAGACGATCCGTCATTCTTCCCATTTATTTTAATTTCAATGGGCTCAGCAGATTATTGATATTCCATTAAAAATCAATTTTCTGTTCATTATTCAAAATGCGATGGTAAGAAATTTCAGAAGCAATCCCCGGTTAATTGATAACTGTCGTCATTGATTTATGGCATGAAGTTTTTGGTATTAGCTTCAATTTAAATTTTTGACAAAAAGAATCTTTACTCTTGTGCTGCATTGTGCTTTATCAAGGTACATTATGTTGTAATTTTTTTTGTCACCTAGCTTAGATCGAAATTTATCATTTCAGCTCCAAAAACGGGTGATATCTTATACAATTCAGTGGAAGCAGAGTAGTTTGGTGGCAATTATTTGCTGTAGAGATTTCTGTGGTTTATCTTTTCCTTGACATAAGAGCCGATAATTACGCGTTACCATTCTGACAAGAAACTTCGTAACCATGTCGTGAGAAAATATAGGGGTTGGTAGACCACTTGTTCACCCCCTCGCTTTACCACCCCTTTTTGCAGTTTAAATAAACTCACCAAGTCCTGCATTCTACCTCTAATAAGCTCATCTTTTCCCCACTGCTTCTTTTATATTTGCGCACTCTTTACGAGCAGACTTTTTCCTTTTGGCGAAAAAGTTGCAAACCTATACACAACTATATAAAAAAATCGTGAATATTGATTTTGTATTGTGTGAAGATATTATACAGATGAAGCTTCGAATTTTGGAAGCCTGTTCCGAACTAGGCCAAAGGAAAAACTTCCTGGAAACTGACTGATAATCGGTTCTTTGAGGATTACATTATCCAGTCGTAAAGTTGCTTTCTACACTATCTCTTTGATGAGAACATCCTTCGAAGATCTGGTTTATGTCATCTGATTTCTTTCCTCTCGTGTTTCTCAATGGGTTCCTTAATGAGGAAGGAGATTCGTTTTCGCCTGATAGGCGGAACGAGTCCAGCTTGTCAAAATGTCTTCCAAAGTAATCTTGACGTTATCCCAATAATCACTGGATCACAGCCATTACCCATTTATTTCACATTACCCTACTTAAGTTGATTACGAATAAACATATGAATAATTCACTTGAAGATCCACATAATTAAGAAAGTCATTAATTTTTTTAGGTATTATAATATAGAGATAATTCATCTCCAATTCGAAATTATCCTAGGTTAGTTAGAAGGCTCTTATTATTAGAAGCAGCAGGAGAAGCGTTAGAATTTATTATTCTATTTTTATATTTATGTTGTTATTTTCTGTCTGTCAAATACTTCTATCTCTACCTTATCAAAGTCAAGGAGTCCACCCTCCAATGGGTCAGAATAGTCACCTGAGCCCGCGTGTGTTGGGAACAACTGAATTCAGAATAAATGAAAAGGTGTTAATAAATATCTTTAACTAATTTGGTTACGTTGTTGATTGCAATTGACAATTGTTGCAAGATAATTTTGGTAACCGATATCAAACACCCAGAAGCGCTCCGTCGCCAATCTAAAGAATTTTTTTTTGCCGACAATTGAGAATGTAAATGCAAAACAAATCTCTTGGGTGCTAAGTTCCCCATCTTGTTCTCGAAATAATTTACCCATTTCGTTCGTAGTTCTCAGTACTATCAGCCATTGCAATGGATAGATTAAGATCTTTGTAATAGGGCTGACGATTTTTTTTTTATTCCTTCCTCCAAGCCTTTTTATCTGCATCTCTCTCTCCTATTCTCACCATTTTCGTTGCCGACGTCGCACCGATGAATCCAGCCGAGGTTCAATTTTCACGCCCACGAGAGCCGAGATACTGATCATCGGGTTTCTCCCAACCTCCTTCAAATAATGAGACTCTAATACTGCGGTACAGAGGTCTCATTTCTTCATCCTCCAATCAATACTTTTTTTTGTATATTATTTTTGGTTGAATTGTTTCATTTGCGAAATTTTTTTGATTCGTACAGGTTTTCGGGTTAGTCTGCAGTGCCGCTTTCAAATCTCATCAGTATTTTTAGTACCTCTCGGGATGATCGATAATCTCATATCGATACTAGAATTCTAACGAAATGAGTTAAAATTACTTGGCCAAGGTAAGGACTTTTTTCAATGCAATGTGATATTGGAGTATTTTGATTTAAATTGGAATTGATTTGAAGATAAATGTTAACTTATGATTCTTTTTATTTCCATTTTAAGTGCGCTGCTTGAATCATTAATGGGTTCATCTATGTCAACAGGTTTTTTCCTGAACTATGGTAATGAACAAAATCCCTTTCCTTAATTTCCAACGCTAAAATTCCATATCAAACACTGAAATATTCCTAAGAAATATTTAGAGCTCTCGGCTATAAGAAATAATAGACGTTCGATCAGGCAGAAGAATTCTGGAATAACTTTTTTTATAATTTCCACCAAAACTACTGTTCAAAATGGCGAATATCACAAAATATATTTTTCCATCTCGTGCGCCGGAAAATTAACCGGCTTTAAATTTTGAATCTTTATTTATGTCTTTTTAGACTATTCCAGGATAATTTGCTCGTTAAAAATTTTCAATTTTCAATTTTTGATTTTCTGATTTCATTCTTTATTGGTTATCCTAGAAGCTTCGGATCGGGAGCTTTTAAATTTGTAATTTGGACCGAATCATTCCACGAAGCCGTTAAGAAATTTATGCCTCAAAATCCCTGCAGTCATAATTTTCCTTCAATATAGGCAGTGTTGAATCCCGCATTCAGAGTATATAACACTTCGTCAGTCCCTAACTTTTCCAATGGCAAACTCACCCCTGACCTCGGTAAATATAACCCAAAACTTAATTAAATAATAAACAGAAAGTTATGCTCATTGACACAAACTAGAATTTTTACTCAGTCCGTACCCAGAAAACACTAGCCATAAAATACGAAATTTTGAACCTAATTTACGAGATTACGGATTTCGTAATTTTCAAGTTGAAAAAAGCGTAAATTACTGGATCAATCTTTCACAATTACTTATCTCTATCTATTTTACGGTTAGTCCTTTCGGTATGCGGTATTTTAATTATTCCACTCAGGATCTGAGAAAATAGTTGGAATATTTCGTTATTCGATGAATACAAAAGAAATTAAAGTTAATGTGAACTCATTAATTGGAAACAACTTTATTGGTTGATGATAACGAGTTTTATTCCAACAGTAAAATTGCCTGCGATCTAGCACAATTGAGATGTCATGGTTTGGATGTGTTGAATTCCAAACTGTGATTATAAAGATTGAACGGTAGAGGTGGTTTTGGGGCCAATTTAACGATCATGTGTCACGATGTGAAATATATATATAGACATATATATAGATATGTATGTGCATATTAAATGGTGTTCCTCCGCTAATCCGCAGCCACGACTAGGCAAACTTTAGGGCGTTTCGTGTGATTAACGACACGTTCAGAGCAAAAGGGCCACGAAATGTTCCTTGATGTATCGCGCCCAAGTTCGAGTATCGGGTAAACGGAAGTTTCTACTACTTTCTACTTTTCGGGCTAAATAAATTGAAGACGTTCTAACCAATCAATGCTGTTGTGGTATATAATAACATGCGACCGTCTATTAAAAATATTTCATGCTGAATATTTCATTTGGAGATTTAACGAATCACTCGTCCATTTTTATCATTTAATCCGTTCCATTCAGTCGATTTTTATTCATATAGTTTCGTAAGCTCCAAAATACCATGCAGAATTAAAAATTTCACCGATTCATCAGTTATAGATTATCGGTTTTTCAGAGAGATGTTATCCTATTCTCCTCTTTCACTTTCAATTATATTTTATAAAATGATCAAATGCCATTTGACGATGAAAACAGTGTTAGAAATGTTTGGCAGCGTTGATTTAGAAAAAAATGAGTTAGCCCGAAATTGAGGAACCTTGAAGTACGCCATTAGCCAAAAAAAGTATTAATGGTATATAGTAGCAATAAATATAACCAATCGTATGGTAGTGGCTCGTTACGAGGTATCGGGTCATTGGGTTGTGCAAAAAGAAACATGAAACAGAATGGGCAAACGCCAAATGGCCCCGCGAGCGTAATCCCTGTTCGTAAATCTCGATTTACCGTCCATTCGCGGAGAGAAGACGACCACAGCATAGATTCCAAAACTTATAATCGATTGTCCCAGGGGAAGACCACCATGTAAAATATATCGACTTGGTGAATTGATTTCCAGGGAACAGAATTGACGATTTCGATTGCTTAATTATTTATCCCCGATAAATACACGCGTAGAAAAAAAGGTCCTTTGGAATATCTTTCAAAAATCATCGTGCAAATATTTTCACGGTAAAACTTAAATTCGCAATTTTATAATTGGCGCTCGTCGTCATGTTTCTCCTGGATTCTTCCAAAGATTTTTGAAAAATATTCCAAAGACCCTTTTTTTACGCGGGAAGCGATTAGATATGGGATTCCACGGTAGATGCCCCGATATTAGCCAAAATAATTGTGCGCCATTAATCACCGAATAAATGCCAATATTTATTGGTGCATTAGATACATTCCAAGTTAATCAATCACTCTAAAAAATCTTCGCTCTAATAATTAAGCAATTGCCGCTGACACGAAGTATCTTTAATGTGACGAGGAAATTGAGGCAATTTTGTAAACGGGGTTTGAAGTGTGAATTTCTTTAACGAAAAATTAATATATCACGTTGAGAGATCGAGTTTAACATGAATTTTTAATAATAAAGGCACAATCATGATAGACAAAAACAATTTTAAAAATGACTAGCTGGAAAAAACTGAGTGATAATTTTGGAAAGAACTTGTGGAGAGACTCGAGGAATTTATAGGATGGTAAATTCATCGAAGAGACGTAAATCGGTGGAATACCAAGATCTCGAGACTTCAGTGCATGCGCGAACGCACTGTCGGCCCTTCGGGCTCAAAAACAGATTGCGGTAAAATTACATTTATTAAGACGAAATTACCGGGAATCATATGACGATATAGGGGCGTGGAATGCAGCCATTATAATCGGCCATAAAGGTTTTTATATACCCTGCGATTTAGTGAGCAGCTGATGAATAAAAATATTGTTTACAATGGCTCGAGTAATGATAGTCTATTCTATTCAAAATAGATGACAATAAATATTAGGTGATTATTCATGGAATTATTGTTTGCCTTAACTAAATGAGTCACTTTCAAATATATATATATATGCGTACGCATTCAACTAATGAGCTCTCGAAATATTGATTCCACCGTAATATCAATTGGAATCTTGAGTTCTCCAGGGTTAGCATATATTATTATTATTTATTATAGCTCATAAATATATGGCTAATATATTGTGACAATAATTATTTCGGCTCATTCTTCTTCCTATCGAATTTAACGATATACCTGCCAAAAAATGAATAATCAATTTTTCATCAAGTTTATATTTTTGCCAACAGCGCATTAATGGCCAGAGTTTAAATTACAGCCTGGAATAATAATAATAATGATAATATTTAAACCTGATTGTAATACAATCGTTCGATATTAATTCATATTTTTTTCCTTTGCCAATGGCATCGAATGAAGAGTCAGAATTTTCGGAAAAAAATTGTTTACTATCAGTGTACATATATCTGTGTAGTAGCAATAAGGCGATTTACTTACCTCAATATCAGAACATCTAACGAGGTCCTGGGGCAGCCCGGAATATAATCTCAACGTTTGCAGGAGACCCTTCAAAGAAACAGCGAGAAAATAATAACGTATCGCATTGCTGATAGGATTATACATTTTCCTCACGAATGGAGTCTCGCTTTTCGCCCTGTTTTGTATTTATATATTTATTGCATCTTCACTTTCTTTCAAACTCGGATTAATCTCGGGATTACTGGTTGATAAATAGCGAACTGTCCAGTATTTTTAATCTCTCTCGAGAAACTCTTAACAATTTGTCGCAAAATTTTCTCGATAATTTATGGACTTTGTTACTGCAATCAATTGTAATTATCGAGAGGCAATACAATTCACTTTTCACAATGCCATTGCTTTGCATATTCAATCATAAATCTTGGATATTTTAATTTGTTTTTATAATTTTATAGAAATTTGGTATTGATTGTTCATCCGGTGTTCGACTGGTGCAACTGGTCGTTGAATCTGATGGGATGGAACTGCATGGTGCTAAAGTTTTTCTGGGATGAGAAGGCTAACAGGATGAAAGGTTACAGAGTGGGGATCAATTTCGATGAAGCATTCAGGACAGATTGAAAGCAAATATTCAGTACTTAGGTATTTCGCAGGTTGCAACAATCACGCAACAATTTTCTCAAACGAAAACCACAGCTTTTCCACAGAATTTCCACAATTCTTCATCACTTTAGTTATAAAAGTATGGAGGAAAATAGTTGACTCGCTTGTACCGTACTCTAATCGTGTTTTATATATAACTTGTTGCAGCAGGCCACTTCAAAAGACTTAAACACGCCCGAGGGCTTGGCCGGAAGGAAGTAACTGTTTTATTTTTTTATTCATAAAAATTCCAAATTTTCTCATTTATGCTTAATATTGTACCATTTCTCTATGGAATTTAATAAAATATTATCAGTTTTACCTAACAAAAATGCTTTTAACGACGAAAGTCTCGAATTTAACTTCTGAAAAAAGCTCTATCGACTGGACAAATGTATTTTTATATTTTATAACCCACTGCAGTAACATTTTTGTCATATCATTTCCTCTGATATATTTATTCCACATTTTCTCAAGTCCCCTATAAAATTCCCAGATTCATAAATAATGCAATGGCTTACAGTGCTGTAATCATTGATCCCTTCGTATATTTATAAACATTTCAAAGCACGAGCATTTATCTTGTTTCGAGAAGTACTTGGTGCCCGGATTAAAATTCATCACAATTGATTCCTCCCTGTTAACGATTGACCTGTGTAATTGAAGTGCCACTCCAGAGAAAAACAATTCCCCCAACTATCGGTTATTCATTCTGGTTCACGACTGCTGTGGAAGTGTTATGATTATTTATGTAATAAACGTTATATCACATTATCAGTAATTTGAGCTACAGGTGTGTCAAACATTACTCGAATGACAGAGCATTTAAAACCTGTAAAGGAAATTTTGCGGGAGTCCAATTCGAGCGGATAGATTATAATAGATTATAATTGGAATGCACTGTTAATGCAACAAGCGAATTTCCATGTCAACTTCAATTGTCACTAGGATGTGCAATTTATGAACTCATGGTATACAGCAAAACATTGGTTTACATTCCGGCAATGCCCAACGGGAATGAACTCAGTACTCACACTCGATATCAAGTTCCCCTTTGGATCGTGTCTTCCGAGTAGGTCTACCACAGTTGTTATTGCTGATTGTACTACTTCTTGCACATGAATAGAGAGAAGAAACTTTCCCGCATTGTCATGGAGGAGCAAGATTATAATAAGCCGAGTGGTTCTATGTTTATTTACCTCTATTGTTATCTATTGTGGCAATTTTACTCGCTGTGTATATTCGAATGCACAGTGGTGAGATCAACTCAGATATAATAAATACGAAATTATGTCATAATGTATATATAATACTGTGACGTTGATGAGATAAAAAGATCCTTTACGTCATAAATGCGGTATTGAATGGAATTAATTACATCATCTTGTTTTCCATATGTTCATTCACTGTGAGTACAGTTTTTCAATTACAGGGACGGTGATGAAATAAGGCTGTGAAGGTGGAATGCATTGGCGTGCTTTTATGGTAGGGAGCATCGAATGCAATGGCTTACGGGACTCTAATTAACGATCGAGCTGTAATACCACGTGTAGAGCCAAAAAAGATAAAATGAAAAACCACCGGAATGCCAATTGGTTTCGTATCAAAATCCCAGAACAAAGTTTGAGATTCGTTAAAACCCGTCGCCAATTCTCTTTTCACACTATTGCCTGATCCCCATTTTTCTTTTCATCTGTCCTATCTCTCTTTCCCTACATCGGATTTCTCTTTGCTAGAACAGAATTGCACTCCGTCTTCTGGCTAGTAATTCCAATCATTCTCCTTGTATTCGTCAGCCATTGTGATAGAGGAATATAGTAAAATTGGTTCTCCAGATGAATCATTAAAATATTCCTGAGCGATTTTCAATGCACACCACCCCCGCACCTAGCTGGAGAAGAATTGGTTTGAAGAATGATACCGTGCTCATCGCAAGAACAAGACCTATTGCATATTTCAAATAGTCTTTCCTTCCGTTGATTGTTATTTTTTATTCTATAGATATTAGAAATGAATGACGGTTTGGCGGTTGGGAGTCTCATCATATTTTCAAGCATTGATATCTATTCAATGAAAGGTGATGTATTGAAATTCAATGGAGAAGCTATTCTGCAGTGAGAAACAGGAACAGTGGAATTTCAGTGAACCATTGCAATCAATCTGGCATCGGTGAGCTTCTAAATTCCTCGGAATACTAGCTCCAGGAATTGTTCTTACAATTATACAAATGCACAAGCTCTATACATATATTTTCCCCTGCTAATTCCTTCATATCTCGAATCGACATTCCAGACAAATGGTTTAGTATTACAATATCGTAAGTAAGATCCCATTAGAATTTACAGATGGGCACTAACTTCCCGGAATGATAATACAATATCGTTCGAATCTATTGTTTTTAGATGTGACTATGGACGTATTCATGAATGGGCTGTACACACACTATCAGCTCCCTTAACAAGACAAATCCAGTCTCGAAGTGGGACTGACGGATATGGCATGGGCCCTGAGAATTTGCTACAAAGAGGAGAGGAATTTCATGATGATATATAAGGAAGCTTCCGGACTAATTTATATTGACGTACCTTAGTTGATATCAAGGCGTCTTTGTTGTAGTCTACTAAATAAGACGCTAGTTCGGGCAAATTAAAAATATCTCTACCGTCAGTGTTAAGTATTGCGGTAGTAGTATTTGAGTTGATGTATTTTCAAATAACTCAGACGAAAAGTAAAGGCACAATTGAAAACCCGTTCTTTCAAACGGAAAGGGAGGAGTAAAGGAACTTTTATTAAGGGAAGTAATATTAAATATTGATAAATGAAGATGATCCGTTTTGAAGCGAGTCAATCGAAATTCAGAGAAATCAATAAAAAAAATAGAGAGTACAGGGCAATTCCTCTGGAATAATGTGCATGGGAAGCTCTTCTCGAAACAAGTGAGCTCAAAGGAATGTAAGGCACAATGCATTTTCTGCATACGCTTCTACTAGTATTGTGTGATCGATGAAGAGGGAGTGAATTCTGAGAAGGCGAAGATGCGATACGTATGTTACATGGGTACGTGATTCCCATTCAGTTGGCATGTGTTTTAAACAGGCTGATGCCGTGATATTTCAACGATAGAGAAGGTAATATGGATTAAATTTTCACGAGCTGATTTAGATGAGCCGATGGAAAGTGAGGGAGTTAGGATGTTTTGTACGTGCCACGAGCCTTGGCATCTTCGCGTGTTCTGTACTTTGAGTTATGAATTAACGGCTCGTCAAGACTGACAAGCTACTGACAGGCTTGTTACAGAAGAGCTTCAGAGGGTGGATAATGATTGTGTGAAATTAAATGGCTGAATAAAATGGTTGAATGGTTCCTAATCAAGTCTGTCTAGGAAAATACATTATTATGTTGTAACTTCTGGGTGGACGACGGTGGATTGACTCTGTGAAATTATGGCATGACTTGGGCATTAAGTCGAGTGCATTGTATTCTATTATTGTGGAGATATTTTTAAATTTGATAAATATTCATGATATAAGTCTTATTGCGACGATGAAGTGATTGACCTGTGAACGGGAATAGGAAATTTAAGAGTTATATTTGGTGAGGAGAATGATATGATTATCCTCGGTGAGATGTGAGAAACTCATCGTAAAGTCAATATACTGTCAGTATAATACAGACTCACGGATAATCACATGCCGCGGTACAAGAAGAAAATTTGTACTTCACATTGAAATAGTGAAGCCAGAGATAACAGGTTTAATTTTCGTGATATAGTGAATGCACAGCATTCTAGTGGATTCCTAATTGAAATTTTATCCAACGTTAATTAACAGCAAATCCCAGACTGTCGTTTTTTGCCTGTCTTCAGGATAGGTCATGTGGAATTGTGACGGACGAAAAAACACTGCGAATTTGAATATATCAAGACTTTACAAGAGAGAAATTATCTGTAGAATCTGTCGCTCAATCCTTATAATTTCGTTATTAGAAATAGAAGCGAATATTTTAACGAAGAGTTGGGAAAGTACTCCGAAAAACCGCAAATTCCGCGAACATGGAAGGACCACTGAATCATGTACGGCTTCGGAGGTAATTAAATACTAACTGCTAATAAAATTAACTTTAAATAAAGCTTTTGAATAATATAGTAATATAATTTTCAGTCCTTTGGATCGATGTCGGTAGCGATACCCTGGTAAAATTGCAACAGTGGCGCCGATTGAGAGCCACAAAATGTGTTTCATTGGGCAACAACACTGATAACAATGACAATTTATTTACGGTTATTCAGAGGTTGGTTAATGTAGGTTTCACGTAACAACTAACAACGACACATGACATGTTGAAAATAAATTATGCAAACACATGCGGAATAGTAAGTAGGTGCGTGGAGCTAATCATATTCAGTGTTGATATGGGGGCATTAATATCCTTTCATTATCAAATCA